TGTACTCTGGCGTGCCAGAGTATTTCCGCCTCATCAAGCGCTGTCTCGTTCTAACATATTGAGCAATACCTCGCAGGTGACACGTGGTCCTAAGGTCACGACCGGCGGGGATTTCAGGCCACTGATGCTCAGTTGCCAACCCACCTCGCGGAGGAACTCCGGGTGCGCGGGGCAAGCTGTCGCCGCAGCCCAATAAATGCCACTGGGCTGCGGTGGAGACGCCTGAACAGGATACGAAGGTGGCGGTGCGCTTGGCGCCCAGTGTGTGTTTTCATCGGCAATTCCAGATTGCTGGAGTGACAACGGCTTTCCTGACGCGTCATTGGTGCCTGGAGTGTGAGTTGGGGAGGTTTGTGAGGTATCCTCGGCGAATGGCGGATAGGCCCAAGTCAAGCCCAATGGGTGTGGCAGATCAGCCGCAAGACGAGCCAGCACCAACTGGAGAATAGTCTCAAAAGTGCTATGGAACCACAGGGCCTGATAGAGACACTAGGACGCCAGGCGAAGAGTGTGCATGTATGACTGGATACCGCACAGCAACCTCCCATGATTGGGGCTGTGTGGACGTCCAAACAGGGGATGCTGCTCCAGGGCAAACAACACCAATGCAGCCCTTTTCCTGTCTATCAATTGTGCATAGGAAGCCCATGGGGCAGTTTCAAACACTCAGGACCGCACTCTGGGCAGGAAAACTTGAAGACCCGCAGAGAGCTGTTCCAGTGTTCTGAAGCTCACGAGATAATGCTGCTTAGTTCTGGCATGCTAGGTTGCTTGGGCAATGCAGGCAGAAGGCTGGCGACAGCTGCTGCGCGATGGATGATTGGTTGAAGGTGAGCACAACATGGCTGCCTGCATCCCAGCCGCATCCTTGTGTGAGACCGTGTCGCTGCTGCAGCAAGCACATGCTGTCTTGAAGGATGCCTTGTTTGTGGCACAGCAGGAGGCGCAGATGAGGAGCTGAAACTCATGCACTGAAGCAACCTGCTGATGGTGTATGCCGCAGTTTGCTTCACAGCGAGAGGGAGTTCAGATAGGAGGCTGAGAGTAGAAGGGTGCACTTGACTGCACACAGATAATGAAGGTGCGATTAGCAGGGCATGATGGTATATTTGGACAGGAAGGCATATAAGCAGAATCTGGCAGTGAGAGGGCATTCAGATTGGACACAAGGCGAGGACCCTCCTGGGAGCAGCTGTCCAGGAGTACAGCCAAGGCCGCAAAGCGCTGTAACAAGTGAGATTCGCGATAATTGGGGCTGCTGCGCAAGAATCCGGTTGCTGCTGCTGAGCCATGCTGCACACTATTCTGCACTATAAGGGAATGCGCACACTCTTTTGACCTGTGGATTGCTGGAACAGAGTAGCAGCTGCTGCATTGGTATATGCATCAGCTGGTCGGCGCACACTGAGACATTGGTAGGACAAGCTAAGAATATCTGCGTGCGTAGTCATCCCACTGGTAAGCCATCACAGTCTGTGAAAACACTTCTGCTTCAAAATGCAAAGAAGCCTTTCCGAGAGTTTGGCGACTGTGTGGCAAGCACATGGCAGGTATGCTGAAGGATGCCTTGGTTATGCGCGCAGCAGGAGGCAAAGGAGCACCGCAAGTGGCATACTGAAACAGCCTGTGATTGGTAAATGTGGCGGTCTGAACCACGACGGAAGAAGGGCATCCGATAACGAACCAGATGCAGAAGGGTCTAGGTGTTGTTCTTGTCACCTCTGCCATTCGGACTCAGGCAGATCTCAATGCTGACGTTCAATGGCACGGCAGTGCTTCGTGTCTCGGCCAGGATCCAAGAATCTGGGACATGATGCAAGACATGAGGCAGCTCAGGAAGAAGGGTGAAAAGAGTGGCGGCGGATTCTGCCCAGACTGCTAAGGAAGCCAGATTGTTGAGCGGCAATGGCGGACACAGCGACCAGCTCATAACTATTCAGATGGTTGGCAGGGAAGTGGAGCGGCAATGAATGGATGCACCAGTTGTGGAGACTGCAGGGATAGGCACACCCTGGCAGGGATACGCACACCCCGGCAATGCAGCCTGCCTATCGCAAGTGGCACTCCCACAATTTGTTCACCAGCCGATTAGTTATTGTAGTTACACGGCTGAGGAACCGCTGTGAGGAGTTGCGGTTAGCGCAGGGGCGGAATTGTGAAATCAACTGAACAGGCAGCACGTGGAGGGGCGCGGGGCCTTCGGATTCGATTATTAGAGTTGGGACTTGCACGCTGATGCTGAAAAGCTTTTGCGGTGGCTCACGCTCGACCAAGGCATTGAATCCTCACCCCGGAGCCGGCCTTGCACCTTTCCGGCCTGTCATGCTGACTTCCCCAGTCAAGGAGTACCTCAGAGATCTCAAGCTTACTTTCCCAAGTAAAGGAATGCCTCAAAGACCCGAATTGTTGGCTGGGAATTGCGGGTAAAGTGATTGCTAGCTGATTATCCGAATGGGCGGCAGGAGACGAGAGCAGTAAAGAACGGAAGCGATAGCTTGGGTGGCCTACAGGGGGCAGGAACGCCCCGGTACTGGACACTGGGATAAAGGCTGAGTTTACTCACCGGTCGATTAGTTATTTCAGCTGCACGACTGAGCAATCACTGTGGGAGTTTTCGGCTCACATGGGGGCGAATAGATGAAGCCAATTGCAGAGGCAGTGCTTGGAGGACTGGGACACAATCGTACATGGCAAATGCACTGTGCTTGTGGCAAGGCTCGAACAGGGCATGGTTTTTGTAATGGCTGAAATTGATCCAAGGAATCGAATCCACGTTGTGTGGACGGGTCCCGAGCCTTTTGCGACGCATCATGCTGACTTGTTTATGTAAGTCCTGTGAGTGCCGTCATCCCAACAGCAATGTGCAACGAACATTCAGTTGAGAATTACAGGAAGCGAAGGAATTGTGGTCTTCATCATCATCATCATCATCATCATCATCATCATCATTTTTTACAGAACAAGGCAATGAGGTAGCCGTCAGCTTCCTATTTTGCCTTCCTTGCTTCCTATTTTGCCTATTGTGGTCTTCAACCTGGTGCCACTGCAGGACAGGCGTGGTGATGACCAATCTTCCACCGTGGAAGAATGGTATATATGCCGCAAGTACAGTCGCACATTGCGGGTGCATTCCTACACCACCGAGTACAGCCAAATCGGCATCATGCTATTTTTGACGCGACCGGCCTTTGGGTTGGACTTTCTCATCATCATCATGATCATCATTTGGGTTGGACTTTCACCAAGGCAACGGCCTTTTCATCACAACGAAGTGCAAGAGCATGTTCTTTCGGCATGCCACCATACTTGAAGATCTCCCACACACGCATGAGAATCTCCTATAAGGAGATGTCGCTCTCGTATTTTTCAATGTCGCAATGCAAAAGTACTCTTTGCTACAGTTCCAGCTCGACAGCTTGCGAACACACTTCGCTTGATGTATAACCATCGATTATCACTTCTAGGCATCGAAATTTCATAGATCATACATTTAGTTTGTATTCTCCTTAGATTCCAATGAACCAATCACCGACCCTGCTTTGCTCAGGCAAAATAGGAAGCTGACGGCTACCTCATTGCCTTGTTCTGTAAAAAATCATGATGATGATGATGAATCTCCTGTGTGTGCGGGGGGATCCGTTGATGCCGCGCCAGCAATTACTGCCTCATTTGATCAAGTACCAACTCATGAAGAGATCATTCGCATTCAAAAGCACACGTCAGTTCGGGTCGAACCCATCACAGTCTGCTGCCGCAGACCCACACGGAGACGGTGACAGGGATGGGAATTGGGCGGTTGGGCGTTAGGTTTGGGGCGTGTCCGATCAAGGAGGTCAAAGTGTAATGGGGACGATGTGGAGAAATGGCAGCAGTGGTACTGGGTGATGCGGGAAGTAAAGGAACGGGTTAGGGGAGTGTCGGGTAGTTAAGTGGGAGTAGAGGTACTGGGTAGGTGACCGGGTTAGGGACCTCAGGAACGCCGGCGGGCGGACGGGTCCAGGTAGGCTGGCTTAGAGGTCTAGGTACGGGGAAGTGGGGGCAGATTGGGTATAGTGAACGGGGTTGGAAGTTCATGGGGAGTTCTGAGGATTTTACTCTGGGTGGGCTCTGCCAGTATGACAATACCAAACGGGGAAGTTGTGCGTACAGATGGAAGAGCTGTCCGTCAATGGGGAGGCCTTCGATAGGTGTACAGTCGGGTGACTGCCTATATAAAGAACACGCTGTTGTGTAATGACTGCTTGGGACCTGACCAAGTCGGACGTGTGGCAGAGAAGGCCTGATCGAGTGCGCGACCTCCGCCGGGCATCCGTGAGCGAGCTGGCCGCTGTGCTGCCCAATCTAGGGCACCGGCACCTACAGGCGTATAGGCGATTTGGGGTGTGTGTGCATGAAGGCTCCCCGTGTGCGCTCTCCGTATAGAGTACGGCCTTCGTATCGGGATCCGCCCCAACAAACATGACGTCCCTGGACGCACTGTGAAGGACTCTCCCCTTGCGCGAAGGCGGGTTGGCACAGAGTGCAGCCCCCGACCTTACGCGACCTGCGGCCATTCCCGTCCGCTTTTGGCGGCGCCGAGCCTGCCATCGACCACCCCATCGACATCTCCTGTGGACCGGGACGCCCTTGGTGCCGGCCGAAGGATGGGGGACTTCATGTGGAAGCCCCTGTCCTCGCGGGTCGAGTTCATCGACCTGGAGCGCACCCGGCTGGAGGAGGGCCTGGCGCCCGTGGTGGCGATTGATTACAGCCGGGCTGCCCGCGAGGTGCACGAGTGCCTGAACACGATCGTCGCCACTGGGGAGGTGTCCACGCGTGCGGCCACGCTTGCCGAAATGGCCATCGGGCACAACAGCAGCGGGTACACGGCCTGGGAGGTGCGGCGCAGGGCGGTGGCGGCCACTGGCGCCGATCTGAGCGCGGAGGATGCCCTGACGCGCGATGTGATGGACGAGATGCCGAAAAATTACCAGCTGTGGAACCACAGGAGGTGGCTGGGGATGGCCAGTGGGGAGGATGCCGCGGACAGGGAGGTGCAGTTTTCCGCCGAGGCGTTGGCGGAGGATGCGAAGAACTACCACGCATGGGCGCACCGGCAGGTGTTCGCGGCCAGGCGGGGGGCCTGGGAGGAGGAGCTGGCGTTCGTCGAGGGGAGGCTGGAGGAGGATTTGCACAACAACTCTGCATGGACGCAGCGGTTTTTCGTGCTGAAGGGCCGCCTGGAGGGCAGGGGGGACCCGGGCACGCTCCTGGCCGGCGAGCTGGACTATGTGTTGGGAAAGATCCGGGCGGCGCCGCACAACGCGGCGGCGTGGAGGTATTTGATCGGGATCTGCAACGGCCGGCCGCTGGGGGGGGTGTTTTGGCGGGATCCCGGGAGGGTGTTTCGGTTCGGGGCCGAGGTGCTGGCGGAGTGGTCGTCGTGCGTGCCGGCGCTGGACGGGATGGCGGAGCTGTACGCGGCGCTGGCTGGGATGGCCAGGGCGAGGGGGCGGGGGGGCCGCGCGGCCAAGGCGGAGGAGGCGGCCAAGAGGCTGTGGGACCGGCTGGAGGTGTGCGACCCGCTGAGGAGGAGATATTGGAGGGAGCGGTGCAGGACGTTGGGCCAGTCTTGCAGTGGGAAATGATGATATAGGAGTACATCCTGTCCAGCATTTGTTTTTGGGGGTCCACATCGGAAGACATCCTTTCCTTTCTGACATCATGTCAGAACGAAGGCTTCGTCGAGGTAGCAGTTTTCAGTTTTGGATGCAAGTGGTTTCATTCCTTAAGCCATTTTGCTAGCACGAGTAGTGCTTGTCTCCAATTTGTGCACCTCATATCTGCATTTCAATGTTTGGCATCCATTGATTCTGATCAACAGCAACAACACGTTCCCATTACAAACAGCTGGACAATTAGGACGGTATTGTCTCAACGCCTTGAGATAGGCAGACCACGTGGCCAACTTGTGATGCATACGATCCAGACATCTAAGGAAAGGAAGGACAGCAGTGTCTTGTCCAAGATCATCCTGCAGCAACGCTTCACAAGTGGATGGCATGCTGACGGATTCAACGTGTGGGCAATTGTTCAGCATCTGGGTACCTGAGCAGCAGGATAGCGTGATTTTTCAGTGGCTGGAGGAAGCACATGCCCCATCCCTGCAAACCGTGCTCGATGCTGTTGTGGGGTGAAATGCCCCAAATTCATCCTTCGTTGGCTTTTAGCGTGCAGGTTTCGTTGATGCAGCAGGTGCAGAAGGCAGTGTAGAAGCTTATCACAGAGAATAGTCTGCGATCTCGCATTTCCCAAAATTGGGTTGCGGGCACAACCCCAGGGCACGTCCGATGTTTGCTAATCGGAGCTGTGTGGGTGCAGCAGCTTCGAAGCCTTCGGGGCGCGACAAGCTGGGGAAGGAGAAAACGATATTCTTCTTGACGGAAAACATATAGATGTTTTGCACAAAGTCCACACAAACATTCACCCCTCCCGCTGAACAACAACTCGTGCGCGGCTCTTTTCCCATAATAACTGCAGCGAACCTCGTGACACGCCACCGCACTGGCCTTGATGTAGCTTCGCCGTTCGGCAACTGCCTTCACGCCCATGTGCGAAGGTCGATGGATTACCCTCACAACACCAAAGACAATCCGCATCAGGCTATTTTTTGCATCAATGCCTGCTAGGCAACCACAGGAAATCTTACGCATTAAGGCGATAACGTAGCCATCAGCTCTATTTCGCGCGAGCAAAGCAGTACCCATAGCCTGTTCCATACGAACCTGAGATATTGCCACCATCCAGCCACTGAGTTGCTGTGCATCAGAACGCACAAATTCACAGACTCGGTATCATCAAACCGCCTCGAACCCATTGTCTGCAATTTCCAAGCACAGAAACTCCTGACGTGCCATCCAGCCCAAGGCAATCAATGCTGTCAATACAGGGGAAACACACACGCAGAAAGTCGGGAAGCTGCTCTGACGGCAGCAAACTGGTGGTGGGTGACATCAGCAAATGGAGGTCCTTCCGTCCAGCGGTGGTGTGATCATGCACCGATGAAGCCATTTAGAGTCGTCACATTGGCACCTTTTCGGGCGTGCGTTTAAGGCACCCGCTCCAAACCAACTTCGCCCTGCTCCGCCTTCCCCACTCACAGGGCTCGCAGCCGCCCTGCGCGCACCCGCCAGCGGCGCGGCGGAGGCCGGTTTGGTGAGAGGAGGCCAGGCGCCCGCCAGAGGGTCACTCCAGCGCCGAAGATTTTGTGGTGCGTGTCACCCCTGGACCCGCCACCTGTCACATTCATGCATGTTTGCCCCGCACCTGCGCGCCAAGCCTGCGAAAATGCGGCCTTTGTCAGACACAGACACCGACAAGGACCGTGCTGGTGGCTAGCGAACCGGTTTTCGTGCTTTTTGTGGCGATCGCGGAACCCCCTGATCTGCGCCATTTCGTCTTCCACGGTAGCGTGGAAGCATGGCACGCGGGGCGGCAGCCGGCACCTTCGAACGCAAGGGTTCGTGTCGGGTAGACATGCGTCAAAATTCCCGGGAGGGAGCCCCGGGCCGGCCCCCCGCTGTGGGCGCCGTGCCGCGACGGCTCGGCCCCCTCGAGTGACTCATGGGTCGGGGCTGGACAGTGGCCGGGAAGGGTGCCTCCCGCTGGCGCCCTGCATCTCTTGAGTTGAGCAGTTTTCCCGGGTGGTCCACCGCTGTGAGCTGGTAGCAGCGCTGCCGCTGGATTGTCGAAGGGTAGGAGAAGTAGGCCGCTCAATGGGCATGTACGACACGCCAAGGGGAGCAACACGTGTCGGTTCACGCGCAGCTGGCTCGATTGAGCACTGTGTCAAAGAGAGCAACGCAGCGCATAGGGTGCGTGTGGTGGCTCTAATTTATGCAGTGGGCAGGACCTCCCTGGAAAAAGTTCCTTGATGGGTCCGTTTTAGCTCTTTTAGGAATGGCGAATCGACACTGTCGATTGTGCGCTGGAGAGGGCAGGCGACCAGGCGCGAAGCTGGGCTCGGTACGGGTGGGGGTGGTTGGATCTGACCTCTACTTGTCGCTCCTGATTCAGCATGATGTTTGTGGGTCATGGAGTGCAGCGCTCGCCAGCGGCCCTGTGCTTGCATGCGACACTGGCAGACACACTGGATTGATAAGGCGTCTAAATATGAACATAGCTGTGCATGACCGTGTAGGACCTGGCAGAGCATGTCGGGAGTCCAGATAGACGATAAGGAACCAATGCTGATCTGTGGGTGTGGGAGGGTAGCTGCTCGAGATTGCCGCAGGAGGCCCTCCGATTTTCGACACAATATTCTCTCTTTTGTTATTGCAATCCATGCCATCTGCTTTGCAGAAAAGGGGTATTTTTGAGAACTTTGCGTGACAAGGCGCAGCTTCCCCAACCTAGGAGAAGCAGTCCATCTGTGCCGAGCTCTTTCTTAGCCACAGTGCTGGTGGTGTTGATGGTGCACTCCAGTACTGCTCCCCAGCAAAATGCCCCTGTGGAGTAGAGGTGTGCTCTGAAAGTCTGGAAAATTGTGGTGCACATGGCACAGAGCCAGATCCGCAGCAATTTGTCAGCTGTTAAGCTTGTAGTGGTTGGGAAATGCATGGAGATGCGTCCCTCTGTGACTGCCCGCAGGTGGGGACCTGTGCCACTGAACAGGGGGATTGCATCTTGTGCCCGTTGCAGTGTGTGCTCTGCATTGGCAGAGAGGGCCATGCCCTTCAGTTGCGAGGAGCTGCACCAGGAGGGCATGTTCCTTTCTGTCGATTCAAAACAATGATTTCTTCACACGTACCTTCAACGTGTGGAACTTCTGTTCTACACATTCTCTAGCGCAGCCTTACGAACTGAGTTTGGTAGAGGTACATTCTCTGACTAGTGCAGCATTTCCCACCCTCCGTTTAATGTACACACGCATGCATTCCCATTGCCGTGCACGGACATTGTTGCCATGAAGGCACAAGGGCAATGCTCTGCTGCTATCGTCAAATGCAGGCAAAGCACCCATGTTACCAACCACTTCCTTCTGTTACTGTGTTTGAAATTGGTTGGGCAGTAGCACAGCCAGAGCAGCACGCTTGCGAGAACATGGCAACAACATGGCACTGCTGATGGTAATGCTGTCAAATGCAGCAGTTTCAGGACAGCACAGCAACTGGGAATTTTTCTTACAGGAACTCCTCAATTGCATGATGATGACTTGCTTTGTGGCCTGATCACTGAAAGGAGTTTCTATGTTCTGGGGTACTTTTATGGCAACTTGAAATATAGGTGCTTGGCAACAGCCATTGAATCTGTGCTCAGTTTATTGTGCAGAATATGGATGGACGGTCGTCGAAGGATGGTTCGGGCTACGACTCAGCCCAGAGCACATCTGAGAAAGACGAGTTTCAAGACGCCGATGAAGCACCTGACACTGGCTGCCAAAGTCCCAGAGACACTTCTGAGCCACACAGCAAATTGAGCACAATGACTTCCAGCAAACACAATGCTGCTGAGGAAAACCCACAAATGGGGGACACATCGTTGTCTCGCTTGGGTGAACAAAAGGAAGTCCATGGTATCGATGCGGCTTGGAACTCCAAAGGGGATTCCGGAGTCATTGTCAAGTCCAGTCAAGCAGGGGGTTGGGATAGCTACATTGAAGGCAAAGACCCTGGCTGGAGCTCCAACACGACAGACACCACGACTGGTGGTGCTGGGGCTGACGATTCAGGATGGAATCCACCTACTAAGTCAGATGCTGGAGCTGATGGTGGGTGGGGATGCGACCCCAGAGCAGGTGGCACTGGATGGGGCACGGAAACCAAGCCTGGTGGTGAGTGGGTGGGCAGCGATTCAGGCTGGGGTGCGCCAGCAAAGCCAGATGCTGTGGCTGATGGCGGATGGGGAGCTGACCCCAGAGCGGACAATACTGGATGGGGTGCAGCTCCCAAGCCTGGTGGTGGCGCTGGGGCTGACGATTCAGGCTGGGGTCCAGCACCCAAGCTGGATCCTGTGACTGATGGCGGATGGGGATCCAACCCCAGACCAGACGATGCTGGCTGGGGGGCGGCGCCCGAGTGCAGTGGTCTCCAAGATGGCGGTTGGGGCAGCCCCTCTGGGCAGGGAACATCCGCTGATGGCTTTGGCGGAGTTCCAGCTAAGGGGCAGGATGCAGAATGCAGCGAAGGGTGGGGCTGGGACAGTGCCCCAAGGCAAGGCGCCCATCGTGGAGGTCGTCAGGGTCCAAGGGGCCGTGGAGGCCGTGGAGGCCGTGGGCGCAGTTTTCCCCCAGGTGCATCGCCCATTGCCGCAGCTGAGCAAGCGTTGGAGAAACTGAGCCTTAGTGGTGGTTTCTGCAGCGATCCCTCAATTTGGCAGAGCTTCATTGAGAAAGCCTCCTTGATCAGCAAGACGGCATTGGCGAACATCCTGCAGTTCTGGCTTCAGGAGGAATTCCAGGAGGACTGGCCATTTATTGTCACTGCCCAGCCCCCATGGGACTTCGAGGACGTGCTGAACGTCTACGACAAGCACTTTGGCAGGAAACTGCCACTGAGGGTGAGGGCCCAGGTGAAGGAGAACCTGTTAGGCGCACTCAAACTGCGAAGGAGGGATTCTGGCTCAGCAGAGGTGGCCATAAAGTTCGTCCAGACTGCCCGAGAGCTGCTGTACTCCACGCCGCCCCCCAAGCCAAACCCCGCTGCTGACGTTGTGGAGGCTGAGGCAGCAGATGGCAGCAAGATAGAGCCAGTGACCTACTCACAAGTTTCCGAAGGCCTGAGGGAGTCTCGAGTCGAGATGGACCAGGTCCTGTCTGAGATGGTGTCAGCAGTCGAGCTATCTGGGGGCGGCTCTGGGTTTGGTGGGTCGAGGGGTGGTTGGGATTCTGGCCCAAGGGGCCCTGGCGGCAGCGGAGACTGGGGATCAAGGGGTGGTCACATGGAGAGGAATGGAAGCGGCCAGTGGGGTAGCCATGGTGGTGCAGGTGGGAGAAGGGGTGGTGGAAGCGAGTGGGGCAGGGGGCCAGAGGCTGGAGGGCGGAGTGGATGGGGGCTGCAGTCTCGTGGAGGCCGTGCCCGTGGGAGGGGCCGAAGGCAGGCAGAAGTGGGGGCGTTGGGACAGGATCCTGATGGCTGGGGACAGGACTGGGTGGGTGGGCAAGGTGATTGGAATGTTGCAGGCTTGGGAAGGGGCTTCAGCCAGGGCAGGGGCCGAGGCAGGGGCAGGGGAAGCAGGGACAGTGTGCCTAAAGACGAATATGGCATCGGTGGTGACAGTGGTCCTGGTTTTGATTTGCCTGCTGACACCGGTGTGGACCCAAAGCTCGTCCAGCCTGGCACTGAGCTGCATGCTGCCCTCACCAGGATACTCAACGGTTATGCAGCTACCCAACAGGGTGAAGGGTGGAATTCCCAGATGGAGAGCCTTGCTGCCATCCAAGGCGATTCATTTGCAGGCTGGGACAACTCTGCAAGGCGTGGATACAGAGGTGGTCGTGGGCGATCTGGTCCTGGCGGCAGGATGTATGGTGGAGCCGAACCTGGCATGCAGCAAATAGGGGTTTTGGATGGCGATGGCTCTGTTCCCAGGGCTGGCCTGCGGCCCAGGTTGAGTGGTGGAGTTGCTGGCGGATCAGGAAGGCACAATGGAGGTCTTATTGGCTGGGGAGCGGGTGGCACTGGTCAAGAAACCCCCGGAGAAAGGGTTGATGGCTGGGGCGAGGCTGGGGTTGGGCTTGGTTACAATGGGCAGGCTGGTGGAGCGGATTGGGGTTTGCGGGATGAGCTGCTTGCGCATGTCTTGAGTGGGAGCAAGAGAGAAGGGGCTACAGCCATTGACAGTGCAAGCGCCGCCATGTTGAGCATGTCTCCTTTGGTGGCAAGCGATGCAGGGGCAGCCATCCTTGGGATGTCTGGAGGCTGGGAAAGCCAAGGGGTCAGCGCACCTGTGCATGCAGCTAATATGTTGCCAGGACTGACCACCAGCGACTTGCAGCACCTTGTCATGTCGAGCATTGACGGGGATGGCTGGGATGCACCTGGAGACCAGAAGACGGATGCCGGTTGGCAGTGACCTGTTGCGATGAGGCTTTTGTGCCGGTGAATTCAGGAAAGTGGCAGTCGACTATTTTATTCTAGCATCGATTGCATATAGTGAACAGCACACTGCCCATTTCACATCAGCCAAGAGTTGTGTTGGGCCATGTGCACAAATTTTCTATGCTGGGAGCGCAGCAGCATCCCTGATGGTCCACTCTTGCATGTGGAAGCTGTGTTTGTGTGTGTGACGTTAGGGGAGGGTACTGTTGTGGGAATGACCATGAGTTTTCTTACGGCTTTACCAGACGTGGACGGACATATCATGTCAGTGACACGCAGTTCTTTTCGTTGTCTGCGGTTGCTATCTCAAAGACAATTACATGATGCGTTCTTTACCTGTATTGTTGGGTACGTCAAATCCTGCCTTGTTTGCAGGCGCCAGTAGACACTGCACCTCTCTTTGATCACCTCGTCCTTTTCCGGACGGAAGTCTGCCAGCAGTTGAATCGAGGGTTGTCTACATACAAGCAGATCTCAATAGGCCCCAAATGCTTGACCCACTGTTTATTCACATGCACGGGCTATTGCATAATGTTTTCTCTGGGCAGTGGCGCCAGTGACGTGCAGCAAGCACCCAAACATTGTGAAGAATGTTTTGAGGACTCTTCACCCAGCAAATGTGCTGAACCAGGGCAACCTACTGGTACCCTGTTCCTTTGTGCTCTATTTGCATCTATTTTCAAGTCTCGTTCCCTTGGCCTGTTGTTTTCTTATCTAATTACCAGATCCCTCCAATGCCTCCTTTCCTATGTAGAGTCAGGCCTTTGGTCATCTCATTGTTTCCCCAATGCCTTGCAACAAACAGGCGACCCCGATCCTTGGTTGCCCTTCGCTTGCTGCAGGGACCCACAGGCCCTTCGACGCCCCTCTTTTCGGACGTGGCTCACTTCTTTGCAGCGTCCTTGGAGCTCGGCGCTGTGTTCGGCTCAAACACCCACCAGAGCGACTCGAGAAGGTGGTGTGGGGCAACACCCAATTGCGTGTGCACTTCAAAGGGGTCTTAACTAACAATGAAGCCAGTCGGACAACGCGCCGTTCTTGAACTGAATCGGAGGCAACCTCGCCAGTGCTGGCCATCCTTCGGTGGGCTTGCCAGACAGCGCGGCTCTTGTCTCGCTCCACCGGACTCCGCCAAAAAACCCAACCCTCATTTTGGCATTTCCCCCAATAACCCCGCCCATGGCGAAAAAAAACACCGACCATCACCCCCACCCGCAGCCCGATAGCCCGATGATGGGCAGCGCGGTTGGGTCGGTGGCCCAAATTCCGCCCCTCGCGCCACTCTCCCGCACCAATCCGGCCGAGCCTCCGCGGCGACCACCCGGCATCCAGGCCAAGCCGCTGAGCGCCGCGCAGCCCGCCAGCGAGAGGCCGCTTGGCGCCGGCGGCACTCTCGAAGCCGCCAGCACGCTCGCGGCGCCTTACCCGCGCCAGCTGCCGGCTCGCGGCCAGCGGCCCAGCCCACACAGCCGTGCCGGGAGAGTTTGCCGCAGCCGTCTTTGGACGCGAGCCGTTCGGTGATCCGGCGGCCTGGGAGGCATCCCGCCGCGGTCGGCCGGTTACGCGCGGGGGCGCCTTATGACCGAGCGTCTGCCGGTGCGCAAGCTGGCCGGGAGGAGGCGGAGACGCACGGGCGATTCGAAAAGGGCGGCCGGGGGCGGGGAGAGGGAGATCGAATTGGGGGGCTGCCGCCAGGCGCGGCGGATGCGGCGTAGATGGTTCAGGGCCTGACAACGAAGACGGCGAGCGGCGAGGTGCTGCGGGTGCGGGAGGTGTGGGGCGACAACCTGGAGGAGGAGATGGAGCTGCTGCGGAGCGTGGTGGACGGCTACCCGTACGTGGCGATGGACACGGAGTTCCCGGGCGTGGTGGTGCGGCCGGTGGGGGCGTTCAAGAAGAACGGGGAGTACCACTACCAGACGCTCAGGTGGGTCTGGGACGGGGTTGAACGTCCCTGGGGCACCTGGATGGTGACAGGGCGGCCTGCGGTGTGGTTGCCGGTGCTGGGTAGGGCGCGGGATGTGGGGGCGCCAGCTTGGTGCCACCGGTGTGAGAGAAGATGGGGGAGGTGGGTGGCTACCCCCCGCCCTCCTTTCCCAGCACGGTGATCATCCCGCTTGCCCTCGAGGTGGTGGGCCTGCGGGGTATCCTGCGCGCCGACTAGCCCGGGCACCGCGACGGGTAGCGGGCGAGAGAACGGAGAAGGGGCGGATGAGTTGCGCGTGCGCGAGCCGGCGGACACCGCTCGACTCGCCTCCGTCTGCGTTGGAGAGAACCAAAGTGCGCCGTGCTGTGCCGGTGGTTCCCGCAGGTGCAACGTGGACATGCTGAAGCTGATTCAGCTGGGCCTAACCTTCACCAACGCGGACGGCGGCCTGCCGATGATCGACGGCGAGCTGTGCGTCTGGCAGTTCAACTTCAGGTGGGACGCGGCGACGCGCTGGGGGCGGCTCCGCGAGAACGTGCGCATCCCGTTCTGCCGTCGATCCGCGCACAAGTCGAACGCACGAACGACGGGCGAAGGCAGCGAGTGTCACGAGTGTGCGCTCAGTGCCTGAGCAGTACAGCTGGCCATGCCGACAACAGCGATCGACGGAATTTGATGGTGAGTGCCACGACTCAGCGAGACCGGGTGCTCGACCCGATTGGGGTGACTCACCGGCCGGGCGTGGCGTGCGTGGCGCAGGGAGTTCAGCCTTAGCGAGGACGTCTACGCCCAGGACAGCATCGAGCTGCTGAAGCAGTCGGGCATCGACTTCGCAAAGAATGAGGCCAAGGGCATCCAGGTGGAGCGGTTCGGTGAGCTGCTCATGACGTCGGGCATCGTGCTGAACGACGAGGTGAGGGTCCGGCTGCAGGGCTCCGCGCCGCAACCGGGTGTGTTGATTGCCCGCTGAAGCCGCCTGGCCAAAAGGATTGGACATCTTTGCAAGGCGGGTGTCTGTTGGCGGGCGTCACTAGTCGATGTGCTCCCCTTCACGGCCTCCTGCTTTTCGCTGACGGCCGAACGGCCGAGCGAGGAGGCACAGACGCGGGCGTTGATGGCACTATGTGACCAAAGAATTGGTTGTCCTGCAAAAAGTGCTAATTTTGCGTGAGGATGGCATGTTCTGGCCACAGTAGGATAGCGCACTGCAGTACAAAATGAGCAGCATTCGATGGGCGCCCCAACCTGGGAAAGCCATGCCGGTGAGACATGAGTGTTGGCTAGGACTTGTGCAAAGCTTCTGAGCCAGCCTGGACGACAGTATTTGGTACTGCCGTATGTGCTCCCTGCTCAATTTGAGCTTTGTTGTTCTGCGTTTCCCAGGTGCGATGGGTCACTTTCCACAGTGGCTACGATTTCGGGTACCTGCTCAAGGTGGTGACCTGCCAGCCTTTGCCCAGCCAGGAGATGGAGTTCTTTGACATGCTGAAGGTGCGCCGGGGGCAACTGCTGGGTGGAGAGTTGCACAGTTGACAGCGAAATGTTTTGAAACGCGGGGGGGGGGCATATGTCCTCATTTGGGGGCACTGCGCTCGATCTTGCTGATCTGGGCTTTTCTTTTGTGCAGTTCTATGTCTGCAGCCCTTAGGTTGGGTTTTAGGAGACATTCTGCCCTGCTTGTGAATTTGCACCCACTAGCTCAGCATGTGGATGGATGGATTCTTCTGAAGCTTTCCAGGTTGCTAACTATGCAGCTGCCTGGAAGTGAACTGAGCTGTGTTCCTGCAAGAGAGGCTACCTGGAATGGTCGCTCAGGCTTGCTTGAAACAATTAGCAGGATCCAAACCATGTGGCAGTTTCTGCCAGAATAATGCAGAGGATTGTTCGCACCTGGGAAGGCGATGGTGCACGAATTCCCAGCTGTGATGTACGGTGCTTGATGCTCTCAGAGAACATTGTTGGAGAGTTGCAACCGTGAAAATCAGGGTCATGTGGTGGCCAAACTTTGAAATCTAAACGCATCCACAAATGGTAGTTTACAAGCAGTGAAGGTGCACGTATCTTGTGTGTACACAACGTTGTTGTAATGCGTTACCGGCCAGCCCACAGCCACCAATCCATGCACAAGCGGCTGGTTCGCTGGTTGTGAATGTTGCAGCACTGCTGACCCGATGCTGGGCTTTGCAGTGCTGTGAGTTGGCAGAGCTCCCCACGTTTCTTCTTGTGAGTTGCCCAAGGCACTTGGACACCCAGAAACGATGGGAGATTTGGGAAGAAGAGCAAGATTGTTCGTGTAGACAGGGCTGGTTGGATGATCTGGTGTCCATCGCATCTTGTCTTTGTGCCTGAGCTGTGTTTTGCAGTTCTTGAAGGGAAGAGAATGCTTGCAACTGTCTCACTCTGTTGTCCTGGCTCGGGGTCTGACGTTTTGGCTTGTGTGTTACCTGCAGATTTACTTTCCTACGATTTACGACATCAAGTACTTGATGAAGTTTTGTGACAATCTGCACGGTGGTCTCAACAAAGTCGCTGAGATGCTGCAAGTTCAACGAATCGGTCCTCAGCACCAGGTGGGCAGCTGTACAACTGATTGTATTCTGGTGTGGCACAGCACGCAAAACAACATACGAAAAACAAGCAGCGGATTAGGTGGAATGTAGGACAAGATATGGAGAAGATGCACCTGCGGTTCTGTATGATTGACGTTTATTATGCAAGCCATGCTGCACTTTTGGTGGGTTCTCCCAGCTATGGTGCAAGGCAGGTGATGAAACCACAAATTTGACACAACTGAGCGGAGTAGAATGAAATGTTTACCTATGAAATGTTTTCCTATGGGTGTGATAACACATATTGCCCACGACTTGCTGCATTTCGTCCAGCTCATTTGGCTTTCTGCTGCCAGTATTGTTTGAACAAGTGTCCTTGTAGGATATATGCTATGGATGGATAAACCACAGCTACATCAGCTCCCTGCTTGGTTGCCCAAGGCCTGGGAACACTGCTATCAAAATGTCTGGCAGAACAACCGACAGGGCAACGCAGATACTTATTGACAATACTGGTTCTGCTTATCATATCTGTCATCAGTTGAACTTCTTGTGTTGGCCAGCCTGTTGATGGGTGGAGACAGTTCTCAAGGCATCGGTTGAATTTTGTCAGGACGGCCAACAGATACATGTCAGTGTTCGTCAACCCTCCGATCCTGTTCATTTGTGCTGTCAAGCAGCTTCCTTTATTGGCCGTGCAGTGAGCTTGTGGCCGCTTGTTTGAACAATGCCCTGTTGCAACTGTATGACTCACTTGCATTGCAGCACGCCGCGCAGCAGAGTTGCACAATGTCCAGCAGTCCAGCACAGTTTGAGCACGGATCAAAGCTAAGCGGAATTCTGTTTGCCGCACGTGAGCAAACTATGCACTTGCACCTCAGCAGTCGATGGTGTCCAGCACTCCACAAAAAAAGCGTCCTGTTTGGTTGCAGTCTGACTAGTCTGGTGTGTGCTGCAGGCGGGGTCTGACAGCCTGCTCACTGCCTGCACCTTCATCCAACTGGCAAAGAAGTTCTTTGCTGGTGTGGAGGGTGCCTGCCAGCATGCAGGCGTTCTCTATGGCCTGGGCGTCGACGCCAACTCGAACGCCTGGCACTTTGACCAGCTCGACTAAGATGGTGGGAACGCCCCACAAATGCACACACATGCGATGGCACATAGTCCACGAAAGTCTCACCCACTTTGTGCAATTTTGTGGCCCCTCCCAGTATTGCACCACGTGAAGTGTGGCACCCTAGGTTGGCAAATGGCACGGGTTGCTGGGCAAGGTGACTCATACTGTTGTACGAGAGTTTTGTCAGTGTGGCTCTGCCACATGAGGGGCGTGCATTCTTCTTTCACTGTTGCTTGGTTATGACTGGGCTGCGTGGAGTGCTTGGTGCACGCTTGGGCTAATGCCGCAGTTTGCATTGCACTTTGGCCTCCTCTGCCGACGAAGGTGGAATGCCGGTCGCGAACAGCGAGGCGTGGATGTGGCCTCTTCCATTTCCTTGCTGGCGATTTTGATGTTTTCTCGGTTGGGTGGTGGTGTGGGTGAACCTGTGGCATAGTGTGGGAAGCACTGGAGGGGTACCCAAGAGAGTCGAGTGGCACGAGACAGTTCCTTCCGTTTTGTCTGCTTGGGGAGCAGTAGAATGGCGAGAGTAGTGCCAGGGCGTGATGTGGGCGTTTGCTTTTATTCAAGGGATTTGATTGTGGCGCCTCTGCCAGAACCAGCATGATGGTGTGACGGCAACGAGTCCATCGCCTGTTGCCTGCTCAGAAGCACGGCTGACAGCTTCGATGGGCTTGAGGCCGGGAGGGACTGATTTTTGTTTGGACGTCAAAATGCCCACAATGCTGAGGCTGTTTTACAAGACTTTTAGAGGTATTAAGTACTAACTGTGCAGAAGCGAGTGTGCACATGGATTGTGCCCAGCCGGCCACCCTGCTGCAAAGAGCTCAGTTTGGATACTTGGCGCACGGCAGGTGGTCGTTTCCAGCGAGCTGCGCTAATGTTCGCAAGATGTGCGCGTGCATAGGAGGAAGACAGGTGGCCAGCGTGCTGGCAAGGCGATCCCCGCCAAAATGTTTGAATGCTAACTCATGGTTGGCTGGGGTTCACGGTTAGTACGACCAGGCTCACGAGTCATGCTGGCTGATTGCATGCTTCTGCTGTGCGATCCATGGCAGTTCGTTTGGGAGCATTGTCGCTTTGACGCACAGCATGGATTCGCTAGTGTGCACCCCTTCCCCCCTCGTTTGCAAGAGCACGTCTCCTGCGAGCCATTTTGTGTGGCCTTTTGGCCCCACTACCCCTGTTCCCATCCTGGCCAGCCTGAGCGTGGGCCTGCTGCCGCACGCGAACTGTTGTCTCTTGTTCGCGTGAGCCCGCCATCAGCACCGTAATGGCACAGCTACGCAGGACTTTCGACCGTATGCGATTTCCGATGCCTGCGGGTCAAGCATCCCACCACGAATCGACAGACTTCACTACAAGCTTACAGTTTCTGGCGCGCACGACAGAATCACAACGCATCGACGTGCATGCTCTGCCTCTCCGGCGCTGGTTTTTCGCAGGCCTTGCCTGTTTCGGCATCTACATGCCCCATGTGCAACATATGCGGCCCTTTCAGGCCAACCTGCCCCATTTGTGGCCCTTATGCGCTTCGGACTTTGGTGTCGGCCCTTGGCAGCCTTGTGCAGGCCACGGCACGCCTATCGGCGGCGTGGTATTATGGTCTTACGGTCTGGGTATATCAGCAACAGGTCGTCCGCGCATACTGCCATGACGACGCCTTGCAGCGTCCGAATCGGCGGTGAAGACCCATTCCGCATGGGCAAGCGCCTTCAGCCAGTTCGCTGGCCTCACGCTCAGAACACACATGGCAACCAACACCGAAAGGTGGGATCGTCGGCCCTTACAACAATGGCTTTGCAACTCTCGGGCCCGCGCGCTCATCGCTGGCCACCACCTACCGATCGACAACCCAGGGCTGGACAGCACACACGCCCCGGCAGCAGCCCCATAAATCCATGTCAAAGGGACCAACCTGGTCCCAAAGGGTCCAAGCTACTTCCGATCAAATTACACAAAGTCACATCAACCGATATCACAGCCTAGTAGGGTCAGGGTATCTTCAGCGCATCAACCATGGCGCCGCCCCCACCAAACTGACTGGACTTTCTGTAACCAACGCTGCCAACAAACACAGCAATGCAACAATCATTCCATTCAAAAACCCCGCCCAAAGCACGTTGCATGACAACAGTAATCGTGACTTCAGCACAGAGACCATGCTCATGCAATCACCCCAATCCAAACACAATCAGAGGCAGCACATTCCCAACTAAGTTTTTGTTGCTTTCCATGTTTTCCATCACCGGGCTTCAAAATTCAGTATAAAAGAGGCTACCTTTTGTTCCCAGCCGTTCGCAGAAAGGGAAGGATGTCATTCTCAAAGTCGTCATCGAGATCCAGCTCCTACGGATCGACTGGTACGGGTGGCAGATCTGCCCCCTGGGCCTGCCCCCGGCTGCTGCCAGTAATCCCATCTTCCTTCCCATCACCAGCCCCTACTGCAGACCTGTCTGCCGGTATCCCCATCTCAGCTCTGATTGTGTGAAACCTGTGAGAATACTCTGATCTATAACTCGGCAAATCCTGCCAAACCACCCGTTAAAGTGAAGACCCCTTCCAGGTGGCCACTTCATCAGCCAAATGCTCCAAATAAAATATGACCTGCCTAAGCGAGGTGAGCTGCATCCAAAGATGGAGCTCAAGCACTCTTGACTCTTGGACTATAGCCAACATCAATTACCCTTCTATTAACGCAATTCCCCATGTGCTGTCAAAATCATCCAACATGGGGCCCCCTCACTGCCTCCGTGCAGCTCACCGCACCCCATGACCGGCTGCCACCTTAGTCACAAACTACTGCAAAAGACAATACAATACATTCCATTCACTGATGTGCCCTCGATCATTGTTCACCCCTAAAGTACGGTAGACCCCCTTCAGGTCCATTTACTGAGCCATACACGTTTACGGGGGTCAGACAAGGGGAATTACAAAACATTTTGCGGCTGCGCACCAACTAAACAAGAATGAACCAAACTGGTATCAAAACAAGCCCATCACTGCCAGGGCACGGTGGCCTGTTTGGTGAAGTCTTGTGACATTTCTGTCAACTTCCCCACGTCTTTCTGAATGCTATTTCCGGCATTTTCTCTTTGCAACGCTTTTGCGTGGACAGGTCCCCAAGACACGCCTGTATGAGAAAACCACAGGAGTCCACTTCACTAGGGAAAAAAGGGCCAAATAACACGTGTTCAAACGTGTACGAAGTTTACGGGTTTGTGTTACTTTTGTGTTCTTGGCGTGTAAAACTATGATAAAATGTGTTTTATGTATGTTGTTTTTTTCCAAGCGCCTTGTGCATGCATCCCCAGCATGCCGCCCCAAAAGTAAACCAACGCTCCCGGGCCATTTCTTTTTCTCCACCGCGACCAGCCCTTTTCCTCTTTCCTTTCCATCAGTAAGGCATCTTTTCAGCCTGACACAGTGACGTCACTCCAGATAGGATTTCAAAGCCGCGCCAAGCCAGCTGTATCCCTTTCTGGCAGCGTCTGACGACCCGAACCTCCACAAGGCTTCATGGCAGTCGTGGGAAATCTATTGCCACGTCCCGTGCGGGTCGCTAATGTGTCAGCCTCCTTGTTTTGGAATCGCTGACATAACTCCATCGCCCAAGGAAAGTGCAGCCTGTATGTCAGGACATTTTCTGTCCTCTAGCTTTCATGCACGCATGTGCATTCCTGTGGGAGTGTCAGGACGCAACCATGCATGTTAAGAGGATGCATTCAGTGTGCATGCCTTTGCTGTTCGCGACACCCAATGGTAACTGATTCATTTGCATGTACCCCGTGCTAAAATGCAATTCAGGTCATGTTTTGTGCGAATTATAACTTTTCAGTCACATGGAACCCCCATTTCTCGTGCAAACCAACAGGCCTCGTGCCCTTCCTCGTCAGGCTGGACAGCCTGAATGATCCTGACGGATCAGGGCATCATAGGGCAGCCCAGTGAGCCCGATTTGCCCCCAAGCCTGCACCTTTACGCTGCAGGACCTCCCAGAGTAGCCTTTGACCTGGCCAGTCTGGGGAGCTGATCAATGACACGATTCTTTTGAAGGCACAGAACGACTCCAGCCCGTCAGCTCCTGCTTCCCTCAACTTTCTCGGTGAAGCTCAACCCCAAGGCACTACAGCCCTAATGTTTCAGAGGCGTTTTCACCCTTTGTTTCTTTTAGTGTTTCCCGTTTTCTACAGTTTGTAATATTGGAATACTCGGGCCATCCCATGCGGTGTTCATTGCGCATACGGTCGACACCCATCGGGAACCGATTACAGAAGTGAGTCACCCAGTGAAACGGTTCTCTTCATGTGGTTTGCCGAGCTCTGTTTTATTTCGGGTTCCATGAATGGACTGTCATGGGCGCGGTGCTCCACCTCAAGTTGTGCCAGCCGTAGCTGCCGATCTCAACGGCGCAATTCTTGTTGCTTGTAGGCGATGGGTGCCAGTAGCCGGGAGGATCCCCTGCTGTTGCCGCCTTGGCGCTCCGTGGTTGCGCAAAGCACTTGGCCCAAAAGGGGGGCAGTGGTGTTTTTGAACGCTGTGGGATGCTATCGAGGGAGTTG